TTGCCTTTTTAATTATGCAGCATTTAAATCCAGAGTTCATTTTCTTTCAGAAGAATCCTAAGAGGGCTATTAAATACGAAGATACCACTTTTGGTTCAGGAAGTCCCCAAGTCACAAAGGAGGGTGTACTGAGGAAGTATCACTGCACGCGTACCCTGATCTCATACTTTTTCCAAAGTTTGCGCCGTTGGCTAGTGCTGGCGGATCTGTGGTCTCACTTGGTACAGCTCCTTTATGTCTCTAAACACAAAAAATGTTATGTATGTCTTCATTCCTCATGCCTTTTTTGGATCTTGCTTACTGCATTTCTTATTATGCAACTGGAAGTCACTGATGGAAAGGTAAACATGTTTTAGGGTAATATCCTAGCAGAAGTCCCAGACTGTATCTGTGTTAGTAACCTGGACAGGGCCAGGAGCAGTGGCATGAAGTGACCTGTGGTGTTTAACTCTTAGCGTGCTCCATTGCATGGTTTTGCCTGCGCCAGCCAGCACTCTCTGCAATGGTGTCTGGATATGGGTTAGGGCAGCAGTGTGAGCCAGGCAGATATGGATGAGGACTCCTCTTTGGGGAGTGAGCAGAAGGACAGAGTTTAGCCATATGGACGTGGGCTGTGCCATAAAACCTGTGCTCAGGGGCAGGGAATTGGCCCCGGACTGCTTTATTTTCTATTCCAAAGCAGGCCTGTTGGTTTCTGCGCCACAGTGCCAGGCCCTAAGACAGAATGCATTTACAGCTCTCTGTATACAGGACATAATTTTAATGCTTGGCTCCTGCTGCAAAATATGTCACAGCAAACTTCAAGAGGATTGTTTATGTCCCCAGAACCTTAAGCTGGAATAATGACTCTAATTTATTTATGCACATTTTGACAGCTTGTTATGTTTTATTCCGTAAAGCTAAATGTGGTCTCAACACCTTGGAGTTATTGCTACTAAGTAATGATACCAGGGAGAGATAGGGATTTTTGTCTCTGAGCAGAGAGCTTTTCTACTCTGTAAGGATTTGAAACCACTGTCCTTGTGTCTGGATGTCTGTTTGAGAAAGGACAGTGAAACTGAGGGCTGATGTGGCTAGCTGCATAACTGAGCAGGAACAGATTGACTCTGCATCAACAATGAATGCTTGAATAACCCAGTAACCAGTGACCTTAGCGTGGGACCTGTCACACTCAGACAGGAGATGGGGTACTCTGTTCTAGAGTAGAGACCTGTAAATGCTTGCTTGCTCTCTAATATGACTCAGTTTCTGTTTTAGATCTGCTGAATGATACAGTTTGGGTACCCCCTTAGGAGAGACTCAGTCTCTCCTCTTTCTCCATAGAGGTCTGAAAGACAGTTAGACCCCTTCTGGTCTGAAAGATTTTTATCGTTTATGGGTGTGATTGAATAATTTACCTACCCATAGTGTTTCCTGTGTCTAATATAATGACTCAGGTTTGATAATACATTTACAGCTAATCAAGGTCTTCATAGGAGCATTGAATAGTTTTGTAAACCAGTAGGATATATTGGTAGATTGTAAGGCAGTTTTGACCAGGAGTTTAAATGAAAACAAAAGAAAACAACTGTAAAACTAAACCACTAGACATTGGATTCTGTATGACTTTGAGTTTCTTTTTCTGTTCTCTACAGCAATGTCTATACTATTGAAAAAACTGTGAGGAAACATTCCCAGGCACTGTGTTGTCTACACTTAAAGTGTTAGAAGAGTCCTTGGCAGGCTTTAGACCTGGGCCAGCTAGGATTCTCCCAAATAATTTACAGGCACCGTTCAGGGATTAACTCCAACCAGGGACATGTTCTGAATATGTACCTGACCATCTTGTTTTGGAGGCTAAGAAGGTTAAGTAGTATGAATAGGAACCATTTGCAACCAGTAGCTGTAATCCTGAAGAGCAGTCCCAGGCTTGTTCAATTTTCTAGTATAGATATAGCTAATGCACGCTTACTTCTATACCATATACATTTGGAAGCAGTGCTGAAACAGGAAAGGGGAGAAAGAATATGTTTAACCTAATCCAGGATATATGGGGATGACAGAAATCACATTAACACAGACTCTTAATTCCTTGCTGAATATCTTCTATTGGCTCTAAGCAGTAGTAGCTCAAGAAAAATAACATTCATGACGGGCCAGTGTGGATCCCTGGAGTCTCAGTAGGGACAGCTGAGAGACAAAGCTGTAAATATGTCATGATAGACTGAAAAGAAAGAGGTACCACTCTAGGGGGGAACTCGGTGCTTAAGTATCAGCTCAACCTGAGTGACAGTCTGTGAGACAGACTGATCATTGCCTTTGGGCTTTAGTCCTAGTTTTAATGCCTTTTTTTTTTTTTTTAAAGCTTCCTCTTACCCACTACTCCAACAGCACAGTTTCCAGGGCCAAGGTTATTTACAAGTCACATGGAGAACACTAGTTACTGCCTCAGATACAATGGGAGGGTGTAACTCTGCTGCTGATACAGATGACAATGATCAGGTTACCATTCATTTACTAACTAACTCCTTAATCAAAGGTTTAACTAGGTTTATAATCCAAGAGAGAGAGCTGTGGCCACACTAGGATTCATGTGCAAAGTCATTGACCATCAAATTCTAGTAGTAGAGATCTGGTTTTCTCACTCCTGTCCTGAGGAACAGCTGTTAATGACCAAACTCAATACGACAACTGACCACCTTCGCAGTCCAAGCAGGGAGATGTGCCTGAACATGGAGAGTGAGCTGAATTCCCACCTTGTTTGGGTTCGTCCTTCATATCAGGGTTTGAATCTCATATTGCACACGTCTCACGGGGATGTCAGGTTTATCAGGATGGCACTTGCATATAGTTCTGTAATCACTGTGACAGTTCCCTGGTCGCTAAAGTAACTTCCTGGAAAAATTATGTGAAAATCTTGAGTGTTAGTCAGTGATTTATGGCATTTTAAAGTAATCAAATGCAGCTGAAAATCTTGATATGTATAAACTTGGGCCAAATCCTGGCTATAACCTTATCTCAGAACTGTGTAAGAGTACTGCATGCTCCTCTGTTCTTCTTGTGAGAAGGCAGAAATTTGTTCTGTTTCCTGAAATGATTGCCGTTCCTGTTGTTAGCAGAGGCAGAACTTGAAGGTCATTGAAGAAATGAGCCACTGAGAGTCTGATATAAGTTGAGTTATACCATCAGTGAATTCTGCCGTTGTCAATCACAGGCATTTCTCTGTGGTGTTTCAGCCTTGGCTCCTAGTCCTAGCCTAAAGTATCTGGTTTCTTTTCAGAAGTGGCTGGTCTGTAGAGTAGATTGCACAGCCTATCTGTTTTTAGGGCCTTGCCTTGTACTCTGTTTCATCTTATAAAATACACATAGTTCATCTCTAGTCATGTCCCCTTTTCAGATGGGAGACACTGGCAACAAGTAGTAGCTGGTAGAGTTCCTGCCAGCAGGTGTTTCATTTTATTTGGCTGTTGTAGGGGTTTTTGATATACTAGCGTGATTTTTCTTTTCTTGTCTGTGAATTCATGTGAAAAAGTATTATGGAGCTGAGCCCTGGCCTGCACTAGGAAGTTGCCCTGCTTTAAATTAATTCTCTATACATTCAAATGGGACCTCTGGATGTTTCGAAAGGCCAGCCACCAAATGCTTTCTCATTTTCATACACTACGGGGAGGGGTTCTCATCTTCATAGTCCTGCTCCAGAGAGATTCACCCTGCAGGACAATGGAGTGGTTAGTTTTCTGGCAGATAAGCAAATGCATCATGGCAAACTTGAAAACTCATCTTCTTTTCTAACTTTTCCATTCATTTTGTTTTACCCTCAAGACCCACAGTTTCTGTGCCACATGTTTATGTCTGAAATGTTGTCCCCTGATCTTTATTAGCCCTTTGAAACCAAACACACACTGTGCATAAATTGCCAAGCTTAGTCCTTCAGCTGACAAATGGCTAGCTAGCTAGGTAAAAATAAGCTGCTTTCAAAAGACTCCAGTGTCCAACCCATCAGGTACCTGGGTATACAGAGCTACAGCCCACAGTAACTTTTAGCCTTTTGCAGTGTATGGACATAAGTGGAAAGGAGTTTGTGACTTTGTATGACCTTTTTAAGGAGTTGGCACAAGGTTATATGGTTACTTTGGGCTGTATTTTGCTAGCTTTTGCACATATGGAATAGCATCTTCCTCTGCAATAATCTCACCTATATAATGGTGTTAGAATCTGTCCTACCAGCTGGAGTGAGCTATTTCACACTGTATCTGAATCTGATATTGTTTCCTTTTTATCTGTTGAGATAGAGTGCTTTGCTGTGTATCCTGATATCCCATGGCTCTCTTTTTGGAGCTCTGTTCACACATCTTGATTCCATCTGTACTCTTCAAGAGGCCCGTTAGGTGGAAGATGTATCTGTCAAACACATGTAGATTCTGGACAGCAGCCCTTTACGGGTCATGCCTTGAAACATTACTAATTTGATTTCAAAGGGAGCTATTACAAAATGTCTTTTGTGTTGTTAGGCCTCAGGAGAAGGACCTCAGTTGGACACAGTAAAATGCTGCATTTGCTATAGCCATGGAGCCCCTTGTTGGAAAAGATATAAGAATCAGTCATGTCTTTGTCTTGGAGCTCGGCACCTCTTCAGGAGGAGTCCCCTGATGAGACAGGGGGACGGCTAAATGTGTGTTAAAAGGTCCAGGGGACAGAAACTTAGTGATCCACAGCATCCATCTGATGCTGTCCAAAGCTGTTGAGCAACCTCAGGAAATGAGTGGAAATCCGACTCTTGTTTGACTATCCTGAGTCCAGAAAGTGGGACGGTGGGTGCAAGAGGGTTGACATACACATCTGTGCACTCTGTGGCAGTGCTTTGAAGATCTGTGTTGTAGCCTGTGGCTTTTTATGATGCAGTCATGTGCATTTTTAAGCCTAAGAATTAGACACCTTTGTGGTTGAAGTTAAGCATGACTGTGACTCATTCAGCTGTCACTCTTACAAACTTGGTGTGAGAACCATATGTATGGGAAGAAGTAACCTAGACCCAAGATGCAAGTTCATGGATTGCAAGACAGGAGGCCAAACACTGAAACAGCATCTGACAAAAGTGAGTAATTGGTCAAAGTTTCCACTTCTATTTAGTCAAATTTCCAACATAAATTAATCTATTGTCTCAAAGTAGTGGCTTTTCCTCCTGATAAGCTGTGGATCTTCCCCCACAGCTACTTCACTATTTGCAGTTAGTTACAGTTGCTCATAGGCTGCACAATCTCTGAGCACATTAGAGCTGTACTAGTAGCCTGACTGGCATTCATAAACAGGCAACGCTTGGGTCTTAGTAATACTCTAAGTCAGTGCAGTAGTGTGCCAAAATAAAGGTCATTTCAATTTCATGTTATGTCATGCAGTTTTGAAGTGACATGTGTTTAACGAGTTTTCTCCAGTAAATGAACGATAGCAAGTATTACACTAATAGGCTTTGATGATTTGCCCACAAAAAAAAAAAAAAGCAAAATCTTTCCGAAAACATTAAACTGATATTTTACCAGAGAAAAAAAACCAAAAACCAGAACAAAGTTTCAAAATCCTGCCTCCAAGCTTCCATAATGAACAAAATTAGGCTTTTTGGCCCTTTCAGATGACGGTTTGCAGAAGTTTCACTGTAATTTATTTAAGCGTGCCCATCACTACAGAGATGGAGGCTGACCTTCTGATAGGGATAGGAGAGCATGAAGGGTGCATGTTGAGCTTGTGACAGAAGCTGTATCACAAACCTCATGACAGGACCATTAAAAGAGTGAAAAGCAGGTCCCTATGTGTATGGAGCCTATAATTGTGCATAGAAAGGTTTGGAGTAGTTTCTGTCTTCTCATACAGCAATGCCTGCTTACCTTGCCACTGTGCCTAGTATCCCAGCTGGTTGTTCCCTGTCATCTTTCTACCAGGCTATGGACTCAAACAGGCACAAACTGGAACACAGGAGGTGCCATCTGACCATCAGGAAAAACTTTTTCACAGTGAGGGTGCTCAAACACTGGCATAGGTTACCCAGAGAGGCAGCGATGTCTCCATCCTTGGAGATATTCAAAAGCCATCTGGACATCATCCTGGGCAACCTGCTTTAGGTAACCCTGCTTGAGCAGGGGGGTTGGATCAGATGACCTTCAGAGGTCTTTTCCAACCCCAACCATTCTATGACTCTGTGATTCTATGACTGCTTGATCAGGGCTGCTGACATCTTGTCGTTCAAAGGCTTAAAAGCGTTGAACAAAATCTGTTACCCAATCTTGTTCTTGGGAATGTTGCTTTTGGTGTCAGCAGTGGGTTGTGCGGCATGTTAAAAAAATTAATAGTTCCTTCAGTACAGGATAGGAGGGAGGACTGTTTGGATTCTTGGTGGTGTAGCTTTTGAGTGTGCAGGAGGGACTGCTGCATTGAGACTGCCTCTCCAGGGAGGACATGTGAGGACTATAGGAGGTAGGGTGAACACTAGTAAATGGCTGGTGGTGTAAATACTGGTAATGTACACCCTTCAGCAGTTTGCAACAAAGCCTATACCAGTTGGGTTTTACGAAAGTTGGTTTTTAATATTCTGCATAATGTTTAGTAGTCAGAGAATGAACTGTCTTTTGAGCTGGTCACACACCAAGTCTTGTCTTCTTTTTGGTGACGACTCCCAGTGAAGTCAAACTGATGGTAAACTGAGAAGTCAATAATGTATGCAAAATAAAGTGTCCAGGCCCCTGCACCCCCTGTCTGCCGCCAGCGAGCAATAGGAATAGGAAGAGATCAGGACTGGTTTCCTGGCAAAATTTGGCATTAGGCTGCAATCCTAGAACAAGGCAGCTAAAGTAATTCTAATTAATTTCCTTTGGAGACACATTTTGCTGAATGGCACTGGTGGTTTTATATAGTACTTCATCTTAGGTACATGAACTGCAAAAAGGCTGCTGCGTTGTATACAGATGCTAAATCTTTCTATGTTGTTCAGCTGATCAATTGCTTTTTTGGGTCAATGGTTATATGACATTATTTAACAGAGGACAGCTAAGTCCGTATAAATAATAATTTAAAGAGTAGAACAAGACCATGTACTTGCTGTCTTAAACAATATGTTGAAATTTAATAATATAACCATTCGGTACCACTCTAAATTGTTCTTACAACCTGTTCAACAATGTTTTACTACCACCCACTAATCATGCCAAATATAATGTGCTATTCATATTTTTTCCAGTACACAGGCACAAGCACTTGCGTGAGCTTCCATGATGATAATATTTGGCTTACAAATTATTTTAACAAATTTTGAAGTGTTTCTAGTCATATCAAATTCAATGCCAGAAGATAAACAAAATGGTTTCAGGGATATTTATGATGCTGTGCTTGTTATTAAACATAGCTTAATGCATTCATAGTAATAGGAAACTGAAGTTGTTATCTTTTGAATGCATGTGTCATGCAACTGAGAAATCTCTTAAGACAACAAAATTCTGTGTCTTTGCTACTTTTCGACTGATACAATGCCCAGCAAAGTCGGTAGAAATTCTCTTCTGAGCAGAGATAGCAGGATAGCACTGCACTTCTCTTCCTTTGTCAGAGATTTCTGTACAGCTGCGCAGATGTCCTGTCACTGTTTTTAATTGGCTCTGTTATCTGTCAGGGTAAGTTATTCTTCAGATCCCCTTTTACATTCTAGGTATGCACTGTTGTCACAGTGCCTCCGTGCCGGGTACTGCGGCTGATCAGCCCCGGGCACCGGCACTCGGATACGTGCACTCTGAAGAGGGGCTGAGATGCGCGGAATTGTGAAAGGGCTGGTGCCAGGGCTGTCAGAGCCAGTAGCCAGCCTGGCATTATGGGCTTGCGGGAAACCACCCCCTGGGACTGCAGCTGTGCTGCGGGACTGAAGACAGGTTGGATTGCAGACATATAGTAATGCTTAAAGGCTGGCTGCGCTGTCGGAGCATCATGTCTCTTGTTTCACAAGAGAATTGTATGCAGTCTTTGGGCCTTTCATGTCTTGCATGTTATCCTGAGACCCATCTCCTTTTGAAAAGACATTAAAAGGTGTCTAGCATGTGTGTGGGTAAGATTTTTTTCCTACTAGGAGAGAAATTTTTCAGACTTTGCATGCAAATTGTTGGAAAGAGGGGGCACACTGTTATATAAACTTGGAGAATGTGAAATGTGAGAGGAATGTTTTCTGTAAATGATGCATTTGTTTGAATGAGTGATCACAATCAAACAATGCATCTTAATTGTTTTCTTTTCTTTAGAATAATCTTGCAGTCCCGGAAAAAATAATATGAACACCATGAAAACAGTCTCCAAGCTTTATTGTTGTAGTGTAAGACTTTAGTGAGATTATGTGCAGACAGTTACTGGGAAAATCAAAGTTACTGCTTCCATAATAACCATGCCTTTGCCAAAACTGATACTGCATTGCATTTGCAGAGATCCTGTATCTATACAAATGGATTAAAAGACCAATGATGGGGAATTCTCTTACTTGCCTTTAAAAATATGAGTCACTGGCCAAAAAAAAGGTGTAAATTCTCTCTGTTGCTTTTGATTGATACTGTTACATAGAACTACTACTAAGTTGGCACTTTATTATGAAAGTTAATTGTGTTTTTTTGAGGAATCTCAACACTTTCTGGCCTGCATTAAATCTCTGTTGTCCTCTGGGTGCATCCTCTCTTCATTAGTGCTTCTTTTAAATTTCAAGGTGCTATATGCTGCCCCTGTCACAAATGTGTATCTCCCAGTGGAACTTCCCATGCTGGTAGGGTTGGATAAAAGGCATTGCACAGTCCTTTTGGCCTGATCTACATCTAATAAGGAGAGCAATTGTGGCATTAGGATGCATATCTTAGAAAGTAATTCAGGTGGTATTGGAGTGCTGGAGGTGTTTTTGTTACACAGGGTTGGTTTCAGTACATTATAACAGGAAAAGGCTCTACTTAGTATTCAAGGAGGGATGAACAGATTGAAAGTTATGTTTGGGATGGGCTCTTGTCGCTACTGAAAATAACTGTGGAGTCTCCAGGGAGTCTATTCAACTCTGCCAAATCTATGTTAAAAGGAAACCACGTCAATTGTACTGAAGAACTTGGATGAGTTTCACAAAACCACTTCAGTGTGACTTAGTGTTTTATCAGTTTTAAAGAGTGCTGTACCTTTTTCAGACAGGATAGAGATATGAAAAGTAAATAAACCATTCCTGTATTCAGGATGAAGAAAAAAAAGTGGACAAGGAGGAGCCTGGAAAAACATACTGTAAATGTAGGTTTTACTGCACATAATGGCACGGAGCTCCTATGCTGGGTCTGGGGACCAGCTCTCCACTGTCCTGCTCTGTGGGCTGCAAAGTGGGTGTAAAAGTCTGCTCAGAGTGACTGTGTTTCACAGTGTTTGCACAGATTTAAATACCCATTATGTGAGACAGCAAAGAATCAGACCCAGGTATGGGTTATATGCAGATACTCAGTAGACTCCGTTCTAGATGCAGGATGTTTCCCTTCTCACTGCAAACAAGATCTGCAGCCCACTCAGCAGCTGTTCCATTTCATTGTTGCATAGTTTTCTTGGCCAACATCTTTTTCCTTGTGTCTGAAAGACCACCTCTAAGATTAACCATGAAAAATTATTTTTAAGATGTCTTATTTGCCCTTGACAGAAGAACTCTCTATTGGGAGACTCTGTGTCACAAAATGGGAGCTGTGGTTCAGGCTTGTTCATGCTGTTCCTAACTTTTCGCTGCATGACTGCACTGTAGCTTGAATTGATCATGGCAAGTAAATTGAAGCTGTTAGTTCATTTAATTGTCAGTTCTGTGTCTGTGCACTAAGTCAGTCAATGATTCTTCTGAAGTGACAAGTACTACATCACATAGCTGCTCACATGGCCATTGGATGTGTATTGATGGTGCTAATGGAGTCACTGAGCCAAGCTCACATCTAGCAATGTCACGGCTCCCCAGATATTGATCGTGATGGTGATTTGTTCTGCAGCAGTGTCCTGAAAGCCCAGGCAGTATCAGAATCCAATGTACTAGTTAGTAGATAGGATAACATAGCCCCAGGGCTGAAGAGGCTACATGAA